ACACAGGCCCCTCGGGCACCCTGGCCTTGGCATGTGGCAGAGCGGGGGCGGGCAGGGGAGAGGGAAGGAGGGTGTGAAGGACCTGTAGGCCCTGGGTGGGCATTGGGCTCCTGTTCCGAGCGGGAGGGGAAGCTGCTGGAGGGTTGGGGTGAGAGCATCCGGTGTGTCTATGGCTCATGTGAGCCACTGTGGCACAGACTGCAGGAGGTGAGAGGAACAGCAAGGAGGTGGGTGCAGAGGCCAGGCCAAAGGTGCTGATGGGACATGGAGGTGACAGGAAGCGCTGGGAGTCACCACCCTCTTGAAGGTGGAGTTGAGAGAATTTGCTCATAGTGGATCAGATATAGCCAGGGAGAAGAGAGGAACTGAGGAGTTTCCTAAGACTTTGCCCTAGGCAACCAGGCAAGCAGCACTGCAGTAGGCTACCGCACTGGGAGGGTGGGGAGGAATGGTTGAAAGGAATCAGGAGTTCCAGTGGGGCAGGTTGACAAAAGGGCAGCCACAGTGGGACATGGGTATGGAGCACAGGGAAAGGCCAGGGTAGGTGACCAGGGCAGGGCAGGGAGCTTCAGCTGACAGGTTTTCCCCACACCATCCAAGGGCACGTGCTCCTGCCCAGCCAGCAGGGTGGCGGAGACACAGAGTGACTGCCCAGGCTGAGTCACAAGAGGAGCCACTGGAGCAGCCTGCCTTTCACGGGGGGCACTGCACTGAATGGGTCTCACAGTGCAATCTCTTTAACATCGACCATCTAAAAAAGTAAAATGCTATGGAAAGACTTGAAAGAAATGCAAAGAAGTAACAGGTCCACTTTCTGAAAAACTGATTAATAACCACGGGAATAGGCAGCTGGGGTGGGGAAGGAGGGGAGATATCAGAACACAGACCATCCATTCCCTTGGCCTGAGGAGGTTCCATTCAACAGGTCCAGAGTGAGAAATCACACAAGATTCGGAAACATTCCTTTAGCTCCAGGGTGCTTTACAAAGACCCTAGGACAGGGAGTGTGGGCTTTAGGGTGAGACTGTTGCAGGACTGGAGGGCTAGAGGGGATGGAAGAAACCCAGGCTCCCTGCAGCTTTCTCATTCCCTATGGACAAGAGAGAAACACACCAAGTTTGCAGCTCCTTATCGTCAGCGTGTTCAGGCTGAATCTGGACAGTGGGAGCAAATCCCACGCTCCCTGGCGGAGCCTTAATCTGCTCAGCTCCAGTCAGAAGCTTATGCGAGCCCAAGTGACTGTGGCCCAGAGGGTGGGGACACACTGTTTAAGCATGACTGCTGGGAGCTCTCCAGGAGCTTTCAACCCACTGCTCCCCACAGGTCCAGAGCCCTTGCCTGTGGTCTAGAGGAAGACAGGTGGAAGCCTCCAAGGAATCCAAGTAGAGGACCCAGACAAAAGTGTGCGAAGGGACCACAGGTGGGGACCTAGACATGCTGCAGTCCCTGAGCAGCACGGGCATCCAACTGGGGAGTACCTTCCAGCATGGGGATAGGCCAGCTCCTAGCAGACTATCCTCAGCTGCCACCATGCCATGATGAAAATAAAATGAAGTCTTAAGACGAAATGACTTGTACTCTGATATGTGTTACATAGGTTCTCAAGACACTTTGTCAAAACTGAAACTATTAACTGACTTCATACATTTTCTTTCACAAAGTTCAATATCTCAATCACCATCCTATCTAATATTTATTGTCTACTATGTGCCAATCACTCCTTATAAGCTCGTTGCATCGGTGAACTCTGCTGCTGACAGCGCCCGGTAATGGAACCGCTTGTGGGACCCCAGCTGGGAAGCAAAGGCGGGCAGGGCGCCAGGGCCAGGCTCCACAGCACCAGGCAGCACATGGCCACGGCCTTCAGAGAACTCAAACCGTAAGGCCACACATGCCTTTTTAAAGAGCAATTAGAATATTTTACAACAAAATGTCCCTTAATCCAGGTTTATATTACTGAACATGGGAAAAATGAAAAATTTCTTAAGTAGCTAGTAATGGCCAAATTCTGTTCAAATCCTAGGATATTCTTCACACACTAAGGTCACTGGAAGCCATCGTCATTCTATGATGCCCTTCTGCAAAGCCACTACACCCAGCAAAGCACCACATCCTGCCATTTCAGACACTATGGTTTGTTATTGCTTGGATCAGGATTAAGAGAAATGTTAAGATTTGACAGAAAACTTAATGTGAGACATGAAAAAGCAAAGGGAGGAAGGAATCTTAATGACGATAGAGACTCTGCTTTTTAATCTTCTGGATGTTCTGGCCCCTCAGTGCAGGAGCACCTCAGCCCACATAGATCACCCCAGGATGAACATCACAAGCATCTGAGCTAGAAAATCAGCCAGTCCCAACCAAATTGATTGTGGTTTTTAATAACTGATTGTTCATATTCCTATTTAAAAATTAAAAGCTCAAGCTCCAAGTTGTCCTGATGAAGTTGTTTTTCAGCTCAAGTAAATAATAGAAAACCAAGAGGCCAGTTCAAGCAGTATCTTCTGTAGAACTATCTTAACACTGAAAACACTGAAAGTAAATTAATGCCTTTGGATTTGTTCACTCACCTGAAAAGGGGTATAACACAACAGCTGTCAGGGCTAAACGTGACAATTTGAGTGAAATCACCCTGCATAAGTGTGACAGGGTAACAGTGGCTGCTTTAGGATTGAATACATTATTTCCTAATAAAATCCCATCATGAGGGTTAGGAAAAGTTAACCAAAAATAACTTCCAATTTACTGCAAATGCTTTAAGACAGTAGGTTGTGTAGTCCTCAGTATAGCTGCTTTTCCTCTTCCTCTAGGCCCACAGGTGACCAAAGGCTCTGTCCCCTTCATGATTGTGTGAATTCAAGTTAGGTGTCTCATTTCTGGGAAGGGCAGCACGCTGCTGGTGAGACCCTCTCTAGTGCTCCTTTGCCCTGCCCTAAAAGCAGAGCACAAGGGGCAGAGTCCTCAGCTGACCTGTGGTGGACATGTGGCATGAACAGAAAGGAACCTTTTGTCATTTTAAACCACTGAGATTTGGGGGTTGTTACTATAGCATAACATGGTCCTTCCTGACTGACCAACTTTTTATACCTGCCTTCCCTGTAGTCCAGACCACATTATCTGTAATGGCAATTATTTCATTAAGCTTACCAATATAATGCCCTCTGAGTTATGAGTTTATCACCATGACTACTGAATCATGGCCTAAAATCCATGAAATATGAAAAGATGCAGAAATCAACTGAATAGCAAAGATACTTCAATCCAAATCAAGTAGAGGAAGATATTATCTTCAGCTTACTCACAGGGGCAGAATTCTATTAAATATTTACCCAAATCCCACTGAAACAGATTACCAAAACTCCCGCCTAAGTATAAAGATTTTAAAATGCCATTGTCCACTGTGAAATTAAACTTCAAGCTCAAAGGTAGGAGCTTGGTATCCCCCATTGACACAGTACAAAAACTTGCTCACCTGAGTATGTGTAGAATTATCCTGCAAGTACTTACCACCTGGGGTGCATATCCTAGTCTGTGAATTCTAACTGTATTGTGGTCTTAACAGGATTTGGGCCCTCCTAAGATATATAAGTTTGTGCCCCTTCATTGGGTAAATTAAATAACTTACCCCAGGATGGGTATAAAAATAAGTATTTCATATTGATAAAGTCAGTCAACTTTAGAGATGACAGTAACAATTACGGTGATAAAACTTTCTAGTTAAGTTCAGAAATAAGCTTTACAATCATTGTGACAATCTGTGCTAGTTTATGTTTAAGTTTCTTGAAACATTTAACAAAATCTGACATACCAACCTTTTGATTTTCATTTTAAATGTCTGTGATTAATTTGAGAATTTAAATTCACAAACAGTATTTGAAAATTTGAAAGCTCAATTTACTACATGTGTAAGTTGGATTTATTTAATTTTACAAGAGTTAGTTAAGCACTTACAAAGATTTTAAAAGTTAAGTTTTAGGACTTCCCAAATCAGACCCCTTGAAAGATTTAGGAGAATCAGATACCACAAAAAAAAAAAAATCTCTGTAAAGTATTTAAGCCTTAAACTCTGTGGGAATTAACCAAATTTGTTGAGTGGAGCTAATCTAATTATCTAAGGGACTTTTATTCAGTGTTCTTGAATATTAATTAAAAGCCATATAAATTCTATGAACCAAGGTTTCCTGGTGTAAAAACAAACGATCGAATGGAATGTTCGCTCTCATTTCTCAAAACGGATGCTTGCCTTGGCCCTTTTTCCTTTCAAGATATTTTTAATGTCCTTAAAATGTAACTCAGCAAATTAAAGTCAATATTGACTCTTTTACTGGCACTACCCTGATAAAAACCATGGGGCAGGTTCTAGAAAGGTATGGATTTTGTTTATCCTTCCCAACTATCTCATCTTCTGCTACAAATACAACAGTGACCACAGAGTACACTGGGAACACCCCAAGGTCCTGGAAGAAATGCAAAATTGCAAGAGCCACTCTTGGATTCTTTCTTACTCTGACTTCTCCTAAATCCAGGTGTCAAATTATATTATTGATCTCCATCCTATGAAAGACAGGGATATTACATAGTAAGTATTCAACAAATGTCTGATTAATTACAAGCAAACCCTCCAGTAATTTAGGTACCAATTATGTATAATTGCAAAACAATGCCATTTCACATCAGTTTTCTTAGCTTCCTAATCATATGGTTTTACGTCACTAAACCCAATGCAAGAATTACTCTTTTAGCAGAGAATAGTCTTCCATCTCACCAGGTAGCAGATTTTACAGCAGTACTATAATAACTGAATGACTGATATTTTAAAAAGCTCAAATACTTTAAAGTAATGCCCAAAGGTACCTGATTCCCAAAGAGCAGAAATTACAACTGAAGATAATACACAAAATACTGTTTTTGAGCAATATAGCTGAAATCATATAAATTTAAGAGAATGTATCCTCAGAGAAAAGGAAGTTAACAAGCCAAACAAAATAAATAATAATCATATTTATATAGTTTCAGGTTTTATTTTCATAATTATCTTCCTATAGAAGCAATAATCTGCATTTCTATAACACATTTAATACTCATTAAAGAGCTGAAAAAATAGGAATAGCACAGATTCCATACACAAATACCATACTCTGCATATGTACAAATAAATTCAATATATTAAATATATTTTGTAGACTGATTTCACTTACAATATAAAAGAACATTGACTATTAGATTCTGGGCATATTCATGCAGACTTTCACTTTGGTAAAAGTGATGACACTACAATTCTCGAAAACAATTTTTCTTGCTGTAAACACCAAGTTTTCCACTTTGGTATATACTTTCAGGATAAAAGGCTTACATAAGTGGAAAAATAAAATGTACAAATGTGAAACAAATGTCCTTTACTACACACCACAAACAATAACCCTAACATCAAAGAAATACCCTAGATCCTGCATATTCAATCTTAAATGCAGGCTGGGTGTGGGGGAGGTTGCACTTGTACACAGCCTTTTATGTTGTTTAAAGCTCAGCTGCATTACGGTTACGGAATACACTGTACTCTTTTGCTTTAAGTTTTCAATATGTAAGAATAAAATTAAAAATTTTCCCCCAAGGCTATAATGGGTAATATGGTCTATAAACAGTCAAAATATCTTTACAGTGCTGCCAAATCTGTATTATTTAGCTCAAGTGAACATTAATGTAAGACTCAGGAAGTTTCTGATGGAATCTAAAGGGTACAAACAGCAATGATAGGATTTTTGAAACATTAATATGTCTTTAAATGCAAACTCCTAAATACAGTTCTATTTAGATTGTTCATAGTATTAATGTGTTAATGTGTATTAACACATAGTTAATGTGTATTAACAGTTCATTAATTGTGTTGAGATTTCAACAACAATTAATGAGAATGAACTGTTACCTGCAGAACTACCCAAGTAACTTAAGGAATCAAAACACTAAATTTCCCAGTGTTTTGTATCAGATCTACAATAAAGACTGTGCACTAACATCCACCCCTCAAAGCACTTGCCAGAGGAGAATGATACTCTGTCTAAGCTCTCCCACAGAACTGAGAATGAATTACTTACTTCTGATTCTACCTTAGTGTTTCTAGGAAGTCTAGCAAAACTAAGCATACTATACTCAAATGAGGTCTGACCCTAAAAGAGATAGAGACAGGGCACGAACAAACAGGAAACTACTTTGCGTAGCAAGTGCCTGTGTAATGCACACTGCTGGTGTTTGTAGGTTCTTTCCAATTACCAGATTATGAAATGAGTCTGAGCCACACAGGATTAAAGGATTAATATACTGGCAGTACAGTGTTTTAAATATATGTCTTTCAAAAATAATTCTTCCCTTTCGGCTAAGTTTTTTTTATAGTATATGGCATTTCCCGTGTAAAGTTATAGCATAGTTGTAACTCAAAATAAATCAGAAAATATTCTAGAGGGAAAAATGTGTATATATATACTAGACTGACAGAAACATCATCTCTTTCTTTGAATGCATAAAAAAGGTCTTCATTAGCTTCCATTTGCTCAAGAACCAAGTAGGTTTGGAGATAGCCACTGTATGTGTTTTTTAGATGGAAGAAATACCCATTATTCAGAGAAGACTGAAGACATTTACAGAATCACTTTAATATGCTACCTTCAAAATTTTGCAAACCTACATATAAAAGCTTAAGTCCATCTTTTATGGGGCTAAATAATATTTTGAGGCTCAAAATAGCTTCCTGTCCCAATCTCATCTCTGAAAAGATTTAATAATTTAAATGTATCTAATAACATGAGGGATAAATTTTCTTTTCAAAACAGAAATTTTTAAAGCAATTTTTTCCCAGTAAACCTTTTAGTAGCAATTATTAAATTAAATGAAAAACAAAATGCTCTAACAATAGATTACAAGAGCCCAAGAGAGAAGACTATCTGCCTATTGCCTCTTTTGTTTAGAATGTAATTTATCTGGAATTTGGCTTGCAAACATCAACTGTATTAAAAGGTGACAGTACATTTTCTGTTAATTCCTACTGGTGTCTTGGGAAAGCTCTTATCATGGAAAGAAACAAAATACTTCACAGATGGTGGATACAATGAGTGATTTGGGGGAAAAGATAACTAAAAATTACTTTTTATTAGTATTTACAATCATGACTGCAACAAACCGTGGATGCCCTTAAACAAGTCCTGAGTCCATGAAATTGCATGTCAGGATTCTCCCCTTTTTCCTTTTCTTTTCTGCAAGCAAAATACTAGCACAGTCCTCCTGAGTACTCATCTTCCTCTTCATCAGCAGCTGCAGCGGTGATGCCATCAGGCTTGGCCTGCGGTGTTGCAGGCGATTTCTTCTTGATTCCCCCTCCTGGAACCATCAAACTCAGGCCCAGCTTAGCATACTGTCAACAACAGAACATGTTCTCAGAAGCTGGGTAACGAGAATCCTGACATGTTTTAATTAGCTTTAAAAAGACAGAGCCTAGCTCACTACCCTCATGAACACAATACCAACTTTCAAATGGGAACACAAACCAAGACATGATGTGACACATACACAACTAGTAAAAATATCAATTAAGTCTTAAACTGACCTGATACTATGATAAGACTCTAAAAGTCCTAAGACCAAACAAACAGGTGTTCATAAATCTACTGAAAAAAATGAGAAAAAAATAGAAACTGACACACAAGGTTCACGTTATGTGTAAGGCACTGTGCGAGGCTATTTCTCATACGCTGACTAATGTATGCTTCACAGCAGTCAAGCAAGATGGGCACCACAGCTCTATTTTTAAGCATAAGTCAACTGAGGCTTAGACACAGTTAATAACCTGCATCACACAGCTAACTGTCACAGAAGTAGGATCCCCACAGGTCTGCTGAATTATGAATGCCACACAATCAACCCCTTTCAGACAGTGAGCCTAAAATAACTTAATAAAATGATCAATCTGCAGAGAACAACAGATGGAAGGGGAAGCCGAGAAATGAGGTTGACTTTAAAAATATGCATGCGGTCCACAGAGTTAGATGGCTGTAAACTCATGTGACATTCAATTATCTAAATCTACGGTGAAATTCAACGCAAGTGGTCAATTTCTTTAAGAGTAGTAGTTTGAGAAGAGAAAGAGGTAGAAAATCTCACGAATCCATGGGAGAAAAACAATCTCACTAGAAGCTTTTCCTTTCAAGAAAGAGGAAAGCTATCCAAATAGGCCCACTTACGTCATTGTCCATGTACTTGAAAAGCGGCGAGTTGCAGACCTCTGACACTTGATCTTGGTCTTGCTGGTCGTAACCTTCAAGAAGCTGTTCGAGTGCAGCACAATCTTCACTGCCATTGAACCCTGGTATGCTACAGTAAGCACAAAGCACACTTCTTCACTTTTTCCTTAAAAGAATACTTCTCAACCAGGGATGATTCTGCCCTTGGCAGACACCCCACATTGTCTGCAGACATTCTGGTTGTTACAAGTGAGAAAATACACTGGCATCCAGTGGCAGGGACTGGGGATGTTGCTAAAAACCCTGCAGGGCACAGGATAGCCCACACTACAGAGAGTCAGTTATCCAGTCAAGCCTCAATGTCCAGTGTGGAGACTGAGAATGCTCACTTCAATCACCCCTAATGAGATCCTCCTGCAACGTACAATCTAAGAACTTTTATTTTTTTCCCTTTTTTTGTGTTGTCTTTTCTTAGAAAGCAAATAAAGCAAAATGACTAGTCATTCACTCCTGTGAAGGTTCCTGAGAGAAAAACACAGGAAAGAAAACAACTTGTAAAAATCCTACTGTAAAAGTTAAAATCATAGTTGAGTACTCCTATCACTAATGAAGACTTATTAAAAAACCAGTTTCATGGCCAGGAACATTTGCCTAAGCAGCAATCTTAGCTAAAGAAACACCAATTTCAACTCTGCAAGTCAATACGGCCCAGACGATGCCTTACCTGTAGCTCTCCCGGACACATCTTTCCGCAGCCACATAGTCATTTCTGTGTAGATGAACTAAGACTTGAGCAATTGTTTTCTAAAACAAAAAAGGTGATCATGGTCAAATTTATATCTATTTAATAAAGTCAATTTCCTAGCAATATTAAAAACACCTGGAATTTAACTTTCAGAGTCTTGATTTGTATAACATATAGATAGTAACTTCTACAGGACACTAAGGGAAAATATCCTAAAACAGTACTTCTCAAACTCTGATATCCTAGGATTTGGTTGACATGAAGACTTTGGAGAGGAGAAACTGAGGAGAAGCTTGGGTTCAGCCACTTCTAACAAGTTCTCAAGTGCTGCTGCTATGCTGGTCTGAGGACCACACTTTGAACATAAGCCTCAGAACACAACCACCACGTTTAAGGGAATTTCTTTCAAATATCCATATAGATTTAATCTTGAAAAGAGAATTTTAAAAAAGGAGGTGGGGACACATAACTCTACAATTATATTTTTGAATTCTTAAGAAGATACTAGGAAAAAAATGTATGAATGAAAACGTCAGAAAACATAAATGATAGTATTTATAAATCAACACAAAAGCAGTAATAAGATCCAGGACATGACTGATAAAAACTTATCAGCTAAATAGCTCTTCATAAAGTACTTTTCAATCTTTTGGATCTCTATTCTTCAGATAACTTTTACTGATCTATCTTCAAGTTCACAAAGTCTTTCCTTTGTCATCTATATTATGAGATTAAGCTCATCCAGTATTTTACTTCGGATAATGTGCATTTCAGTCCTAAAATTACCATTTAGTTCATTTTTAGTTTCTATAAAAATACAATTTTTTTCCTATAAGAAAACAATAGGTCTCCTTTTCTCTTCATTTCAATTGGTTTACCTTTACCTCATGGAGCACCTAAGACAGCCACTCCAAAGTCTCCATGTGATAATTTCAACAACTGGGTCACTTCTGAGTTGGCAACAGTTGTCTTTTCTCCTGAAAACTGGTCAGTTTCCTGGTTCTTGCATGTTGATTAACTTTAAACTGTACTGTGAGTGTTCTGCAGCACAGCCTCTGCTGTGATCTCAGGAGGTGTGGGTGCTTTTAGCAGGCAATCAGCCCCGTTAGGTTCACACTGCATACTATGTCTTACTTTTGGTGGACAGTGGTTCTAATCTTAGTTCAAATCAGCTTTGGGTAGGTCCCTTCAGGGGGCTGGGTGAGACTTGGATAGTGGTTTAAATCTTATTTCAGTTTTCAAAACTCTGCACTCCTACTTTGGGCCTGTCCCACACACACACAGCTGAGGAGTAAACCCAAGGCTTGTATGGGCCATGCACACACTCAGGGGATTCCTTTTTCTAGCTCTCTCCTTTCTGGGATTTTCTCCTCACTCTCTCAGTTCATCTTCCCAGATCCTCTGGCCAAAGAAACTGGGGTTCTTTTGGAGTTTTCTTGCCTAAGCCACCATTACAGCTGTAGCTCCATGACTAGGGTTCAACCATGGAGCAACACCAAGAGAAGAAAAAGGGAGGAAAACAACGGGACTTCTTTTCCCAGTTCCTCTGGTTAGAAAAATGCGTTTCCCTTTGGAGTTTTCATTGTACTATGGCCTCTGCTACCCAGCTCCACGGCTGGGGGCTTCTCTCAGTAACACTGCAAGAGGAAATAAAAAAAAAATGTGGGAAACTCATTCCCATGTTGGTTGTTTCTCCAAGGGCTTGTTCCCCCACTCTATCCGTCTGCTTTTATTTACTTTGCAGAGTTTGAGGGTAGCTGTTCTTAAATTTTATCTGGTAAATTAGCTGTAATCAGCAAGACAGACAGGCCTTACTCTGTCTTGGTCAGAAACAGAGATTCATAAATATTATTTTACAAAAACACAGAACTATCCATACAATCCTATCTTAGGTATTTATCTATACCAATATGAAAAATGATATCATGTAAAGCCACAAATGAACACTTTCAAAGAATACCTTATAACAAGTTGGATAATTCTCAATTTCCTTATAAATATTTTTTTCTTTCTGAATAGAGAGGGCCGCCTCATCAAACCTAAAAACAAAACAAAGAAATGTAAAACAAGGCAAATCTAAATGATCTATAGTCAGGTCACCTTTGTAGTGATATTTATAATATTTGATATTTTAGATTTTAGAGAAACAAAGAGGACAGACAGATGTTGCTAGCAACTGCTCTATGAGCCATGTTTCCATGAGCTCTGCTCACGTGGCTTGTCTTTTAAATGCCTAACTCTGCTTTTAGGCATCAAGGTGACAAAAGAACTTAAGGATGGGTGAGTTAAAATGGAGAGTTTTCAGTCTGGTAAAGATTGTCCAATAATAAGAAACAAACTACTTTGTGAAATGTATTAGAGCGACAAGCCTTAATTTCATCATCCCAGATTTCTTTCCCTTCAGCTAAAAGAACATTCAGATGCTCCAAGAGCACCCCCCACCCCCTTCTTGTACTCATTATCACATACTCCTGCTGCTGCCTCAGTAGGCCCTAGTAAACTGCATTCTGCCTAAGAGGGCTACGTAAAGGGGAAGCAAGTTCAAGGGCTAAACAAAATTCTCCCTGCACCTCCCATCTGCAACATTCTTCTTTGTCTTTCCTTCTACTCTCACACATTCTGCTTTTCTTCCATTACACCCAATGGCAGATGAGAAGGATGGAGTGGAAAGGGATCACCAAAAATTTCCCCCCAAACCTTCCAGGCACTTACCTTTTTCTCACTCCCCCTAAATTCATCAAATCCTAATCAGATCCTCCTCTCCCTGAAAAGTTGTAGTATACTCTGAATTCCAGAACTCCTTTAGTAGCACCTAACTAAGGACTGGATGAATTATTCAGTCTTCACCCATTTCTCCCATCCCAACGGAAACCTGAGGTTATAGAAGCAACTACCAGTGGCCTGGCATTGGGAGTTCACACAGCCCAAGATACAAAGGGAGAGATTTGTGATTCAAAATAAAAATGCAAAAATGTTATATTACATGCTCTATTTTTCTGTATGTTAGTTATCTTTTAAAAAAAAAATAATTGCATACACACACACACACACACACAGTGGCTTGGTTTATGGTAATATAACCAATACTTATATCATGAGTTAAATTTCTGTTAAATTACACTCTGGCAACTTAGTGTCTCATAAAATAACATTCACTGGAGAAATGCACTCGGAATTTCCAAAGATCAACTTGATAAATTTTTGGAACAAAGCTTATAAGCTGGTTTTACAGTACTAGAATTCTAAAATTGCCTCCAAGATTTTCATCCTCCATATACACTCTCCGTATAATCTCCCTTTGAATGCAGGCAGGACCTCTGACTATGATGGGACATCACTCCTGTGTTTGACTTTGAGTGAATCACCATCTGTATGAGCCTGACATCAGGTGAGCCCTTACAGGGCCTGGGCCCTTGCTGGAGTTAGAGACTGGAAGTCAGAGATGTGCTCCCGATGCCTTCGATCAGCAGCAAACTACCATGCTGTGAACCACCTATGGGCACACGTCCAGAACTCAAAGTGCACTCTAGAGCTAAAGAGTGGGCAATGGCCGACAGGCAACAAGAAAACAGAGAGCTCTGTCCCACAGCTGCAAGGAAAAAAATTCTGCCAACACCCAGGGAGCTTGGAAAAGGACCCAAGCCTTGGGTGAAATCAGGGCCCCATCAGACCCCTTGATTTCAGCCTGATGAGATCCTGAGCAGAAGAACCAGCTACACTGTGTGTCCAGATTTCTAACCTATAGAAACTGTGAGGCAATCAGTGAGTGTTATTTTAAACTGCTAAGTTTGTGGTAATATATCATGCAGAAATAGAAAATTAATGCAAGGGAGAAGCAAGGGAGACAAATGTATCCATATCATTTGTAATTGTGACCATGAGCTTATCACAGATCCTGTTTCATAAAATAAATTTGTAATTCAAAATAAAAATGCAAAAATGTTATAGTATATGCTCTATTTTTCTGTATGTTAGTTATCTTTTTCTGTATGTTAGTTATCAAAAAACAGTTGCATATACACACACACACACACACACACAGTGGCTTGGTTTATGGTAATATAATCAATACTGATATCATGAGTTAAATTAAATTTCTGTGGGCTACACTCTGTGGACTATATCAGAATATTCTATGACTGTAATGTCCAGCTTTTATCATTCTAGTAGGAATCTCAGTATTTTAAGCTTTTCATATATTTCACTTTAAAGACTACATTCTTCACACATGGATTATTTATTTCCTTGGCATAAAAATAGCATTCCTATGTGCTAATATCTACCTAACAAAAAAACCAAGAGAAATAGTCTGCATTTATATGGATTTATAGTCAAAAAAATTGATCAACTTTCCTAAAAGTCCATGAAATTGGCATGCAAAGCCATCTGTTTTCAAAATGCATTCAGGAAATTATCCATTACTCATTATAATCAATTACAGATGATCTCAACTTTCCCATCAGGTAGTTCTTAATATTCCTAACAAAATAAAATGTATCTGGTTTTGCTGAAGACAGATACAGTTTTCATCTTCTTGTGATTAAAAAAAGGAGAACCAAATAAAATTAAAAATGTAAACTTCCCAGAAACTATGTACATGTGGCAGGAAACTGTCATAGAATGTCATTCATCAGGTGTCACTCAATAGACACCTCCCTCGCTGTGACTCGAACTCTTGCTCTGGCCCCAACTATTAATATTTCCTGAATGAACTCCAGAATATATGTTTTAAACTATCTACAAAAATCTTTGGCCTGTTTGTCATAGTCCCAACTAAGCCTATAATCATCAGTGATAAGCTTGTTTCTATATTCCTCACCTCAGTTATTAATGGCATCATGGACGGGACAGTTACCCAAGACAGAAACCCAGTGACTCTCTTAACTGTACACACCTCCAAACACATACACACCCAGCCCTCCCTGCGTTTAGGATCCAGTGACTGTCTCAGATGACGGGTGCACTTTTCTTAATGTGTGGGATTTGCTTCATTTAGGAAAAACGCACAATGTGCTGGTCTGCTCCCTGCCCCAGAACTCTGGAAGGTCAAGGGATGTAAGCCCTAAGCCAGGATTAACTTGCTGGAAAGGCCCTTCTAAAAGGCAATGACAGCACTGGTCTTAGACTGACTGAGGCCACCCCAGATGTTACCCAAGTGAAATTCTGAATCACTACTGAGTTATGGCTCTCCAGAACTGAAGGAAAAGCAAGAGACCAATATATTAAATACAACAAGCATAATTGTAAACTTTATGCCACATACTCTATTAACAGATGTTACTTATGTAAAGTATAAAATTGCCACCTGTGTTAGTTAGGAAATTAATGCAGTCAGATTATAATCTAAGTATATACTGAAGATATTCAAATAACACTTAAATTTTCTTAATTATCTTTCCATTAGAATAAATTCCCCATGTTTTTTCTTACTCTGCACTACTTAAGTTCCTGATAGAAGTACTATGGCAGTAGACTTTTAATTCTTTCATACGAAAGTCACCCGGGAACACTTATCAAAATATCATATTCCTTCATATTCCCAAATAAATTTAAATCAATTTTTATATTGTTATACAACTCAAAAATATTATTTCCATAAAATTTTTGTTCAAACACTGCAGAAACTATTTTAAAATGTGTTTATTAGGCCGGGCGCGGTGGCTCACGCCTGTAATCCTAGCTCTTGGGAGGCCGAGGCGGGCGGATTGCTCAAGGTCAGGAGTTCAAAACCAGCCTGAGCAAGAGCAAGACCCCGTCTCTACTATAAATAGAAAGAAATTAATTGGCCAACTGATATATATATAAAAAATTAGCCGGGCATGGTGGCGCATGCCTGTAGTCCCAGCTACTCGGGAGGCTGAGGCAGAAGGATCGCTGGAGCCCAGGAGTTTGAGGTTGCTGTGAGCTAGGCTGACGCCACGGCACTCACTCTAGCCTGGACAACAAAGTGAGACTCTGTCTCAAAAAAAAAAAAAAAAAAGTGTTTATTAAAAAGAAAAAAATAATAAAACAAAATCATGAAGTAATAAATAAAAGACCCAATTGGTTGCCCTAGATTTATAAATTTCCACTGTCCACCTTTCAAGCATATCCACACAACATTCTCACTTATGCTGCTCATTCAGTTCACACCTTCCCACTCCACTGCAGCTGTAAAGAAAACTCAGTTCTTGTTTTAGAACAATGGTTTTCATTACACGTGTCAAAACCAATCTGCAATGTTGTCAGAATGCTGGTGGCTACCAGCCCTAAGGGAGCTCCCTAGAGGAACAAGTACAGGTAGCTGGAGACAGGACTCAGCCGACCTCCAGGGGAGATCCTGGCCCCTCTCTCCTCCTTTGCTCCTCCCCTAAAACGCATTTTTAGATAATCTGTGTTTGGGAAACAAAAGGGCAAAAGACGACATGAAAAGGAGAAATACTTTAGGGTAGCTGAAGCAGAGTGGATCCCACACAGCACTGTCCTCACCTTCTGCAACTTCATGTCTTCCACCTTCCATGGGGTCCTACATGAAGGGCCCTAGTGCTCTATCAAGGCACTGGGAGCCTTAGGGGAGGATCATTAGGAGGTGGAATGAATGGGAAAAGGAGGTAAAGATATGCCACGACTTGACTACTGTCTGCCCTGTAATAGTAACAGTCAAGGACACTATTCTCTGTTTCTACCATATGGGCCTCTGCTCTCAAGAGTCAGAATCCAGGTAATACCTTACAGTTCAGCTATTCTACAACAGCCTGGGAGCCACCACCAGGAACAGCTTAGTCTCTGTCACAAAACATTTTCAGGGACTAAAATGAACCATTTATAAGTTGGGAATGAGAATGTTTAATAGTTATTTCTAGATTAATGTATTCTCATGTTCCTCTAAACTTATTTTAATTATATTTTAGAATCTGTAGTCTTCATGATGAAAAAATTTAACTGAGTTTCAAAAAGGAAGAGACAGATTCATTAGTCATAAAGTATCTTGGGTCTTTTCTGTCACTTGAAAGCTATGGAAAAATTTCCAATTAAGATACCTACGTCCAGATTTACAGTCTCCTAAAGGTGTTGGACCTTAAATATTATTGAGAATTTGGCAAACAGAATTTTATTAATAAAAGAAATTGTTTACTAAGTATAAATTGAGGTAAAGTAAAAAACAAAAGGAAAATCCAATAGGATTCTAGCTTTCTGGGGTTCACTATCTATGCCTTAATTCATATGTTTAAAGGATAAAAAATGGATAAAAAAAGGATAAAAAATTTAATGACACTATTTGGCTGTCAAGAACTGTCAATTTAATAGGTGAACATTTAGGGCATCTTTGTCATTTATCCTAATATTCTTATTTTTCCTCAAGAGAGACATACTACAGCTGATCTTGGACAAGAAGCAAAGAGGGAGACATTATGATCTAACTAAATAACAGATCAAGAAAACCATTCTCTCTTATGCTGCTGAGCCATGTCTTCATGAATACTGTGAACTAAAATAAAATTTTAAGGCTCACTCCCCCCGCCACCAGCTGACTGAATGGACCTCCTCGTGGCCAAAGGAATATCCTAAACCTAATTGTATGCCAGGAGAAGGGAGGTCAGACAGGCCTCATCATGCCCCCCTCCCTTCTTGGAGACATCCTTTGTAACCCATTAACAGGTCTAAGGGTATGCAAGACAATCCTGCAGGTCCTCAATTTACACAACAAATCTATGTCCAGTGGCTTATCTCCTTATGTTAAAACATTTCAAGCCTTTAGACAAAGCTTCAAGTCTTTAACCAATTACAATCCAAAGAATCTTTAAACCCACCTATAACCTGTAAGCCGCCCCCCCCCCCAGATGTCCCACCTTTTTGGACCAAACCAATGTATGCCTCCCACGTATTGATTTATGACTTTACCTGTAACCCTTGTCTCCCTGAAATGTATAAAAACCAAACTGTAACCCAGTCACATCAAGTCCACTGCTCAAGGCCTCTTGGGAGTGGCTCCAGGTCATGGTCCTCAAATTTGGCTCAGAATAAATCTCTTTAAAATTATTTTACAGAGTTTGGCTTTTTTCCATTGACAATACAAACACAATGCATGATAAACTTTGGTATTACACTTTAGAAAAAAAATCTTTTAACATTTAATTCTATGCATCTACCGACTAGTAGATGTCAATTTTTCCACTAAGTGGCCTGATGTTGTCTACAGCTCACACCAAAAAGATTAACAAGTTATCCCCTACATTACTCACCAGTCAAATGTGGATTCAAAGTATACACAGACACCCAGGAATACAGTTTTGAAAGACATACCTGCGTCCTCGTACTAGCAGTCTGGAGGCTTTTCCTAGTAATTCAACTGCCTGTCGTAAGCGTTCCTCATTCTGAGGCAATCAAAGAAAAAGAAATATTGGCTGCATTAATGCAGAAATCTTTTTATCTCTCAATATTTATTTTATAAAGAAGTAATGGCACTGCATCAAGAGGGAATACCAAAGCTGCTAGTCCACTTCACTATTCTCTAATAGAAAAAAAGAAATATGGTTCAGTTATAAGCATGGAGAAAACATTTCTGTTTCCCTACATATTATGAGTATAAACATTCTAAGTAATTAAAGAAAAAATTAAAATTCCAACTTACTTCAAACACATTAGCTGTCTGTTGATACAACTGTACAGCCTTTTCCGGATTTATATTTTCTATAAGCCTGAATTAGACAAGAAAATTTGACTTATATGAAAAACAGAAAACTTTTTCAAAGGACATTATTAGAACAAAAAGATAATGACTACTATGCAGAGACGGGTGGTTCTAACAGCAGTTCCACACACTCACTTTCCGGCTCGCTCCAACGCCATGGCCGCGGTGTCAGGGGTGCCGTTTTCTAGATACATCATGCTGGCCTTCTCAATGAGCTGAACAGCCTCTGGTAGCTTCTGCATCTCCTTTGGGAAAAGGATACAGCACAGATCAGAAAACGCATCCATTTAAGAAATACAGAGTTAATCTGAAGTGCAATGATTTTATCCCTAATTCATGAAAGTATATGACTCAAAAATGTTACACCACAAGTATATTTAAAATGAAATGCCTTCGCATGGTTACTCTCCCAATCAAGCTTCACTTAACCAAACCAAAAATGTACCAGATAATTTCTACACAGAGTTCATCATCACTTGACAGACTTTCAGAAAAACTATATAAATAGTAGAAACCAAAAACTTGCTCTTTACTGTTTTTTAAGCATTTACAATTCTTTAAACACTTACTGAGCACTACTATATATACAAGGCCTTTGCCCAAAATCACAAACTGGAAACCCAAGGGCTATATCTCATTTCCAAGTGTGTTTTGCTTGAACCATGCAATATTTTTAAATTAGATATTTTTCATAAAAATTCTGTTTTACGGCTTCCTTCAAAAAGATATACAAATCTATGGCAACAGTGGGCATGCATTCCCACATAGCAATCAATAATGAGCTGGGGCTGACCAGTGGCTTTCCCTGTTAGATAAGGCCTCCTGGAATTGGCTGCAATTCTTCCCATTCCCCATTCCCGACTGCCCTACAGCCAGGCCGGCCTCCTTCACCTCAGCTCTCCTCTATGCTCTGAGTCCATCTGAGCTTGCAACCTTCTTCCATGCTGATATAATCAGCAGAATAAATCCTCTATCTTGCCATTATAATTAATCTATTAAGTCTCAGGATCTTATAGTCCAAATATTTAACATCTCTAAATCAAAAAATTTTAAAATAAATTTTAAAAACTTAAAAAAATCATTTAAAAGCAAGTTATAAAGTTTTACAAGAATTACTTATTTAGGGGTGACTTCTGTATTTTAACGCAGGCTCCACACTGACATCTTATGGGTTGTTTTAAAATCTGCCTATTCAGTCCCTTGCTAAGTGACAAATTCATCATGATATCCCTAACAAAACTACTGGTCTCATTCTCACCAACTCCAAAACATAACTTTTGATTATTTAGTTATGGAAATTAACAATAAAACAGACTGAAAGATACTATAGAAAATAAAGTTGCTGTCATTCACCCAAGTGGAATGTGTTTATATATCCAAACTTCAGTGAACAAATAAAAACTTTTTTGTTATAAAACCAAAGGTCAATGAAAAAAATCTAAGTCTGTGGTATTTGTTGGAGGCTATTTTGAGTAAACAGTGAAGGTAAACCTAACAATATCACCCACTTTAGCCATGAGGGACATTTTGGCTTTACAGAATATAGGTGACCCTTGGATGGCATGGGTTTGATCTGTGTGGGTCCAATTATTCACAGATTTTCTTCTGCCTCTGCCACTCCTGACCAGCTTCTCCTCAGCCTACTCAGGGTGAAGAGGATGATGAGGATGATGACCTTCATGATGATCTACTTCCACTTAATTAATGGTAAATCTGTTTTCTCTTCTTTATGGTTTTCTTAACATTTTCTTTTCTCTAGCTTACTTTATTGTAAAAATACAGTGTATAATACACATTACACGTAACATACAACATACATATCAATTAACTGTTAATGTTATAGGCAAGGTATCCAGTCAACAGTAGGCCACTGGTAGTTAAATTTTTGAGGAGTAAAAAATTATACATGGATTTGACTGTGCAGGGGGTCAGTACCCCTAAACCTCCCTTTGTTCAAAGGCAAACTGGGTATTTCTTCCCCTGATTCACCTATTCATAATTAAATACATACTAAGCATCTACAATATGAAAGCATCTGGGGGAATAAAAGAAATAACACAGGTACTATCCTTTATGAGTTTTACCTAGTAGGTAAAATGTATAGAACTGTAACTACAATATGCAGTAAGTACTATCTAAGGCCTATGTTTAAAATAGACAACTACATCTCCCTGCTTTTGCATCAAATCAAGTGAGCCTGTGAATAACAGAGGTCCAACCACTATACTGACACTTCTCCACAAAAAACAATGGCCTGCCTACTTACAAGTTATACCATCACTGTAAATATGCCTATTTTCAATGGCTTGTGTACCTATGGAGCAAATAGGATACAAAATCACAACAATCATAAAATTACAGAACCAAAGGTTGATCCAACAAGTCCCTGTGGTTTCCGTTATGCCTGTATCTAATGCCACTCCATAAGCCTTACAGGAGGATAAATGTGAAGGATTGTATGACAAATTGTGAACATTTTAGCCCACAGAATTAACTGTAGACCAGGTAGCTCAGGACTCCTAATGCTGCTCAGAATTGTTCAAAGGCATTTAATTTAAATACAAGATCATGCTGAAAGGCAATATCCTTCATGTGTTTCCCTATCAGTTAAGTTTATTTGCCTTCATACAAAGTCATGCCTTTCTAATCCTCTAATTCAGGGGTCCTCAAACGTTTTAAACAGGGGGCCAGTTCACTGTCCCTCAGACCGTTGGAGGGCTGTTGAAAAGTGCGGCACACATTCCACACATGTGCACTGTGGGCCCGGGACAAGTCGGCCACTAAGCAGGACAGGCAGCGGCGGCAAAAACACTGGGCAGGCCAGATAAATGTCCTAGGCGGGCCGTATGTGGTCTGCGGGCTGCAGTTTGAGGACCCCTGCTCTATTTAAACAGATATTTGGGAAATGTTTCTATTGTTCAAATTGATGCCTTAAATAAATGCTCACTGATACCTAAATAACTACTGAAAAAGACTCAAGTCTTAGCACAGCTGTTAGAATACAACTGAAACTGAGAATTATTAGTGTTCTAGCATTGCTATGCTAAGATAATATACCCTAATAATAGCCACCTAGGAGCTTCCTAGTTCTCAGTGGAAACTAAGACAGGAGAAGGTGAGAGCAGATCCCTGGCTTCTTAGGCTATAAGAAAAATTCTAGTTGCCAAGGAATTGCTGTTAATAATCCAACTTGTATCACCTAATATCAATTTAGTTGCATGCTTGGCCAGAAAAGCTTTACCTCAATGGGTTTATCATAGCATGGTTTATCATGCTATGGGGTGATAAACCCATGCTAATGGGTTTATCAAAGCATCATAATTTAAACACTTTCCCATTATTAAAAATTTAGATAATTGCCATTTTTTAAATAAATATCCTTATGTATAAATCTTTGCTATCTCTATTTCTTTATGATAGACTCACAGAATTGGAATTTCTAGGTCAAAGACTATGAAAACTTATAAATTAAGCATGTTAACAGCTGTTACTAGCATTCTTTAGTCTTTCCAATGTTTCTAAATGTTCTACAATAAGCATATAGTCACTGAAAAAAATCAGTTAAGTTCATATTATAAAAGTTGCAGAAATTAAAAAGCTTTACTAAAGTATAAGTTCTTAAAGCAAAGCTATATAATAAATAATTCAATATAACTTTTACCATATTAAAAAACACAAAAATGGCATACTTTGGGAGTGTCATAAATAAAATGTTCCGTCCCACTACAACAGGATATTAACTCCCAACCTGCTTTTAAGCAGAAATATAAAAAGTGGCATAGGTACATTAGTCAGAATATCCCATTTAAAAAGAATCAGTTAAAGTTGCAAAAACTTAAGTCAGTGGTTCTTTTTGCTGCCAACTGATATTTATAAAACAAGCAAAAATCTCTCCTTTTTATAACCCATGAATAAAAAAAACTTGTAAATTTTTACTATATTAAGATGTCCTTAAGTTTTGAAAAGTAGGGAAATCTCTCATATAGGTTTTTTCCGTTTGTTTGTTTGTTTGTTTTTCTAAGCAATACACATCTGTCCTGGATACAGAGCTCAGAACTTTGCTGCAGTTTCCAGTTTCCTCCAAGACATTTTCTCTTAAATTTCACTTTTAATACTCCCTATTTTAAAACACACAGGACATCCCCTATGGGTCCAATTAGAGTTACTCTGGTTTTGTGTGTGTGTGTGTGTGTTTTTTGGAGACAGAGTCTCACTTTGTTGCCCAGGCTAGAGTGAGTGCCGTGGCATCAGCCTAGCTCACAGCAACCTCGAACTCCTGGGCTCAAACAATCCTACTGCTTCAGCCTCCCAAATAGCTGGGACTACAGGCATGCACCACCATGCCCGGCCAATTTTTTCTATATATATTAGCTGGCCAATTAATTTCTTTCTATTTATAGTAGAGATGGGGTCTCACTCTTGCTCAGGCTGCTTTTGAACTCCTGACCCTTGAGCAATCCTCCCACCTTGGCCTCCCAGAGTGCTAGGATTACAGGCATGAGCCACCGCGCCCAGCCTAGTTAGTGTTACTCTGGACAGGAAGTCTTAACTTAGCATCTCTTGCCTTACAGTTAGGAAGCTTTTCAAGCTCAACATAAATTCTACTTTAACACCTTGTAATGAATTCATTTTACCTACACAACAGCTGTGACACAACACCATCACTGACCTTCAACATCATGCCGGCTTGCTCATAAGCTCTGCAAAGAGAACATAATTTCTCTGATGAGATCTTAATGAAATAAGGGAGAGGACAAACTTTCTGGTGAGGAACTACAGGTGAGGGAAGTGACTTCAATTAAAACTGGTTCATGCACAACATATCACTTTAAACTTGTATAACCACACAACATAATTTTTTCTACATCTTATTTTCATGGACAATAATGCCTTAGGGATCAGACATCTGAGCTGAAGAGATTGTACAGATGCAAAATTAAGTAAGGCTCAGAAAGGTTAAATCACCTTCCACTTGCCAAACTTAAATCTAAGTTTTAAAACAAATAAATACTCTCCACAAAAGCAGGAGAAAGCAGGCACTATTAACTATCAAGAAAAAAGGGAAAAAAGAGATTCTAACTTACATGTTTTTTATAGGCTACTGAACAAAATAGTCCTGAAAATACTATGCCAAATTTAATTTATACACTGTATATTCCCAGAGGAGTGATTTAGTTTTTAAGGTTCAGGTAAAGACTGAAGCAAATGGAAATGATTATTTTATTTAAATCAATACAAAATTAATTCACTATTACAAATTTATAATTTGAGAAAAATTTACTGGCCTACAGAAAAACAGCAACATTTAAAACACAATCTGCAAATACATGAGATCATAGAGAATATTTACTTACTTGGCAGCATGAAAAAGACTGAATGGATGTAATGAAGTCAAAATTAAGGAAAAAAAAGGATATCAATAGTTTCTAAAGATCTGCTATTTAAAAGACAGTTTACTAAATCACTGACCAAGTTGGTTTTAAAGGATAAATCCTACAAACAGGTAAAGAAGAAATAATTCAGTGCCTATTGGTATCTCTTAAAACACCATAATTCACAAAAACACTGACAAAACACCAGATAGATTTTAAACTATATTATGCCTTAATCTGAAGTGTTTTACTAAAATCCAAAGTTATTTGACTATAATCTGTAAGTAAGATAAACATTTCTTAATCACTAAGCTTTAAAATACCTTAGGACAATTTATTGTTTCTAATTACTTATAAATCTTATTTCAAATACCTAAAGAAGACTGTATTTTAAAAATCTGATATAGCAGTGCATGCATTTTCAATACCTGTGCTACTTCTACATTCTTCAGCAAGTCTACAGATTTCCCTCACTTCATCCCAAGTAAAACCATCATAAGGAAAACCAGAAACAATGGAAAATAAATTCCCAAACGTAGCTCTGCAAATCAGTGTGGACCTTATCATCAAACGTCACTATAAATGCTCCTTCAGAGTTTAACATGTAGAATTTTTCTAATCATTTTCTATTTTAAAAACACTTTATTTCACAGGTAGCAAATGTATAGCAAGAGAAAACAGTCTGTCAAAATCATCTGTTTAATTTCTTTTTAATGGCTGAAAAAGATACGCCCTATTATTTTCATGGGCAACAGCTTCCCTCAGGCAGGCATCTTTTGCTTGCTCAAACTGTTTGGCATTTTTAAAAGCAACAGCTGAAATAAAAAAAAAATAGACTTTCTATTTCCATCATTTAAAACCCTTAAATGAATCATTACTGAAATCTGTGTTTTGATTGAAAGACTGAAATACTTGTTTCAATCAAATACTTATGAAGTTTCATAAAACTATAAAATACTCTTTTTATAAAGTGATTTCTTTACAACTTTTCTGATTATCAATAATTTAAAATTTTCAAGTTTTTCTTTTTTAATTATTGATCATTGGCAAGAAATCAGTGCTATGTCCATTCAAAATCAAGAAGTCTTTCTAACACCAAACAATCCCAAATAATAGATAGGTACTTCACCAGTTTTACATTTAATAGCAAAATTGTGCTTTAGTTATAGCTCATTAAATTATCTAGAAACTGAAAGACCAACCAATAAACACATTAAATAATTCTATAACAAATCTTCCTTTTGGCACAATTTTTAAATGTCTGACAATGTATTTTTTTTTTTTAAAGCCAAGTTTTTATACTGGTTAGCCATCTATGAAAAAGACATCTCACTGTTCGAAGAGCTAAAGTGCATTGCTAGCTGTTTTAAATGTATAATCATCAAAGCAAAACAATTAGGAGTGGCTGTAAAATATGATCTTACAAATTTTGGAAAACTTACCAAAGGTTGCTTACAAAGAAGTAAAAAGCATAGTGCTATTCGAAAAGTGTTAAGTGTAATTTGTTAAAAATACTTAAAATTCTCTTTAATAAAATGTTGAAAACAAAAGAAGTGAAACTTTCTCCCTGCTTTTCCATCTTAGCTTTATAAAACATTTATTCTACTGATTAAATGTATTTTGCAGAAATCCTTAAAGAAAATAAATACAAGATGCTTTAATGAGAAAACCTGATCTAGAATATTTATTTTTGAATGTAGCGCGTGGTCTAAACAAATACATGTTAAATTTCCTTCATAGAGGAGACTTGCAAAAAGTTGTACACTCCTGTTACAAAAGCATCTTCATATGAAGTATCTATAAAATCTACATAAAGTTTGAACTTTTAGTAATTTTTAAAATGACATGTAAATAATTTACATAATACCAGAGACAGAATTCACTCAGATTTAAAGTGCTAAAGACTCATTTGTCATCATTTATATAGAAAATAAACCCTATATTATGCTGATTAGTTTCAATTGACCTTATTTCTCTTTTCTTTGGTGATATACTAAAACTAACGTCTGTGCAAAAACACTTGTCTTAGGTGATCTCTAAGTTAGGCTAACAAATGGCATCAGGGCTATTGCTGAAAATATGTGTAAGGTACTTCAAAATTGTATTATACTTTATTTATACCCAAAATGAACACAAATATTCTGAGAGCTATCATCCTATAATTATTAATAAAAATGTTAAACTTTTAGTAAATTCCTTTACTATTACATATTTCAGATTTTTTACATTGTACATACAGATAAATTTATTAAATTATGTATACAGCTTAACGTTTCATGAACATTTAATGTATATCTCGAACACATAATGTGACAAACAAACATGGTTTGCAGATAGGCTTAGGATGAAGCTAAGCTAAAAAAAAATTTAAAAGAAAACTCTTTATTCACTAATAGGAAGTATAATATAGGAATATGGCAAGACTTATGGATGTAGTAAAAAAATGACTGACACTCAAGAATACACAAACAATGCCAAAAATATGCAGCTGTGTACCACCAACCCTAACCATCTCCACTGTTATGAAAGACAGGTGCCAGGATCTACAACTCAGCCCTCAACACATCCAAAAACAATTGGAAAAAAACACAACGGCTTGTGTTGTTTTGTTGCGTGTGTTTGTTTTAACTATTGAAGTCCATAGGAAGCATAAAAGTATCATGCTGAAATGAAGTTGTCAGAACACTTTAAGATTATACGCTGGAGCAACAAGACTATGGTCACAAATACCTGCTTTTCCATATTCAGAAGCAGCACTGTCATAATCTGGCTTCCATTTTAAAAAACCAGTTTTCAGGCTAGAATGAAAGGAAGACAAATTTAACAGAGTTACCAACTACATTTATACGGCAGATCCTTAAAGCCATCAGGCACAAACTCCCCATTTTGCCCACCTACACCCAAATCTATTAATAACAAATACAACCTCACCTCTTCTACCCCATCATGGATGTTGTTTCCTCCTAGAGGTTCTCAATGCATGGTCCCCAGACCAGCAGCATCAGCATTACCTAGGAACTTGCTAGAAATGTGAAGTGTTCACCCCACTCCAGACCTACAGAACCTCTGAGGTTTAACAAGCACAGAGATGCATTAAACTGTGAGAACCTCTGAAGCACACTACTGTTAGCAGTTGTATTCATGAGATTTACGTTCAGAAGAGAGGCTAAAGACATAAATGGAGGACTCACCAGCATATGCCACAACAAGAACACAGATAAGATTCTCTAGGGAGACTGGACACAGGAGAGAAATGCTAAAGAATACAATCATGCCATGGGACCACATAGGAAGTAGGCAATACAGGGTGAGAATTAGCTACCAATGAGCAGGAAGTACCAGAAGCATATTATGAAAACCAAGAGAAACTGCTTTCTAGGATCATTGCCTTCTCAGATGCCAAATCAAAGTATAATCAAATTTGAGTCCCTATCAGGCTTGCTTTTTCTGCAATAATTTATTTATTTTTTTTATTTTAAAGTAATTTCAGATTTAGTTTAAACTAATTCAGAGACTATCAAACTTGGGTTTGCACAGAATTGCTGAATGCCATCTTAAATTTACATAAAACACTGTTTGCTTCAAATGAATCAGGGGAGCAACTTAACTGACAGGGAATCTCCAAGACCCCTCAGGAGTACACCCCTCATTCTGTGACAACTGTGTGAGCTGCCCAGGAGCCCTAACTATTAAGTAACATTTTTTGCCAATTAAATTTAATATGTCTAACATCTAAAATTTGTTTATATCTATACTATTACAAGATTCAAATTTGTAAGCAATTTTTCAAACTTACCAAGCACTGCATTGCTCAGAAAAATAAAATCCTTAAATTGTGGTGTCTATTCTAATCCACAAAATTGAGGAAATATGCAATAAAGCAAAATTCTAACCTTCCAATCCCTATCCCAAAACATTTGTTACATTTTGTATGTTAATGTAATTTTTTAAATCCCACCAAAAACAAGATACATTCAAACATGGAAAGACCCAGATATTTTAAAACACAGCAAATCATCCCCCATCAACTGAGCACCAATAATTAGTAAGAAAGAAGTCAGCACAGTTAATTTAGGTTTAGTGGCTATCCCTGTTAGTGTTTTTGACTTTTTGTCCAAAGAGTCAATAAGGAAACTGACCAATTTCCATAGGACAAAAAGAAAACAAAACACAACACAAAACCAAACAATAAAACTACCATCTATGTTAGGGGATTAATTAAACAACTACTTGGCAATATTGAGCTATAATAGAAAATTGAGAAAAATCAACAATTTTCTCCTAAGCTCCTGATCAATTTTTCAACTGCCACCTACTGAGCAACTCTGTCTAGAAAGATTTCAAACTAACACTTCAAGCTTGAACCCAACACCCCTCTGCCCCAGCCTTACCCACCAACCCTGTACATTCACTTACATCCCCTATCTTGGCTGAAGGCCTCTTCCAAGGTAGAAACCCTGGAGTCAAGCCTTTACCTCTAAATCCAGGCAGGTCATTAAAGCATGTCAACCTTATTTGATTAATGTCACTCAATCTGCCCCCTCACTGTTACTTGAATTCAGGCCATCAATACCTCTCCCATGTGGTCAACACCTACTAACCTGTCTCACAGCACCTTCAAGAGAGTGTCACATTTCCTGCTTTACCCTCCCTCTTCCATTCCCCCCACCCTGAAGATATTAATTTTTCCTTGCTTTGTATCTCCACCATGCCCACTGAACACCTTACTTTTACTCATCTGTTCTCATGTGCCCTCCTGTGAGCATGGGACCACTTTTGGTTACTCCAGGCTCCCCAGTGGCTGACACAGGTACACAGCAACAACTTCATAAATCTTTGCTTACTGAAAATGCCAAAGTTCTCCCTGCTCCCCTTCCCCACAGTCCAGTCTCCACATTACTGCCACATTTTATTTCACCAAAAGCAAATCTAATGAGGTCTACTGGTTATTCGATGCCTAAAAAAGCCAACATTCAGGGCCATGTGAGGGGCTACCTCTTCAGTTTGGCTCCATCTTTTCTGCACTCTAGCTCATCCCCAGACACTGCAACTGCACTACTTTCAGTGTTTCCTGAGCATAGAATCTCTCTCATTAGATTCTCCCTCTGTCTAAAAACTAATTATTTTTCAGGCCCTGTTCTGAAATCACCTCTATGAAACCTTCCTAAATTTCCTTAGGACGAATAAACTTCTCCCTCTGTGTTACCAATGCACAGTTGATATATTAATAGCTTTATTTACTCCACACACTATTCTAATTACACTTTTGTGTTTGCTTCCACTAGAAAGTGAGATTGTTTTAGCAATCTCCTGCACCAAGACAGCCCCAGTACCTTACACATTGCCTGGAAGAAATATGGTGTAACAGAAAAAGCTTGAGTTTTTCCACTGTTTGAAAACTGGCTTTGACATCTTTCAACTGTGCAGCCTTGAAGCTCCCCTAAGCCTCATTTCCTCTTATGTAAAATGAGAATCAATCTGTAAAGTTGTTGTGAAGATCTCAGATGATGAAATTACATATGTGAAGTACCTACCACAGGGCACAATGTGGATGTTTCCTTACCCATAAATGCCAGATAGAAATTTGTTGGAGTAAGAAACTGGGGGAAAGAGGAGGTCAAAAGGATAAATTAAGGAGAAGCAGTTCAGTTTCACAAATATCTGTTGGTGCCTACTACATGCTGTACCAGAAGTTGGCAGAACACATAAAAAGGATTAAGGAGGCACACAGCTTCTGCCTACACAAACAGTATGATGGCAGATAAGTGTTCACCGAGCAATTTTCAGAGTAAATCTATAGACCCCCCCCCTCCAAATACAAGGGACTCTTTTAGAGCAGTGGTTCTCAACATGACAAATTTTTTCCCTCAGGAAACATTGGGGTTGTCATAAATGGGGAGTGAGGTGGGGGGTGCGACTGGCATCTAGCAGGTAGAGACCAGGGATGCTGCTAAAGATCCTACAAGGCAAAGACAGGACAACCCCCACCACAAGGCGCCATCTGGTCCAGAGCCTAAGTCGACAAACCCTTTGTACAGGAAAACCAACCGAACACTGCGCCGGAACCCCCTTCCCACCGACACCAGATCTGACAGAGACTTCCGGTGGGGCACACGAACTCCGCTTCTCGAGGTGCAGCCGCAGCGCCCCGGCCCCGGCCCTGGGAGTCCGCCGCCTCGGTCCCACAGCCGCGCAGGCGTCAGGGCGCCGCGGCCCCTCACTCCCGGCGCCCTCCCTCCGACCCGCCAGGGTGCTGACTAAGACCGGGCCAGGCGGGCCACGGACCCAGCGTCCACACACAGCCCCACGGCAGGCTCCCTTACTCACTATTTCTCTGCTTTGGCCATATGCTCCAGCCCCTCGTTTATCTTCTGAGCCGCCATCTCCACAGCCCGGACCCTGACGTGGGGAGAGAGCGAGGGCGCTACAGTCCAGGAAAGAACCGGGCCGAGTAGGCGTGGGAACGCCGAAAAGGAAGCCGGGACAGCGCAGCAGCCGAACGGCTACGGAGGGCCGGAGGGCGCAAACCTGCTGCGGCGAAGCGGACCCAGAGTTTGCAGGATCATCTCGCTGGAAGACATCGCGCAGGCGCAGAACGTCAAAGCTGACCCGACCTGGGGCTCTTAGCGCAAGCGTGGTGAGATACTGAAGAGATGTTCATTCACTCAACGGATATTTATTGAGCACCTACTATGTGCCAGCCACTGTTCCAGGCCCTGGAAAATAAACAGGGAGTATAACAGACAAAACCTCCCTCCTTCGTAGAGCCTTGTTTTCTCATGCATGTGAAAACGCTGTGGGTCCTTTATGTAGTTAGTTGGCCTTATAATTTATTATATCTGAAGTTTTGCTGTACCACAGCTAGAATAGTAGTTATTCATTCATCCATTCTGCCTTCTGAGCGCCAACTGTACATCAGTCAATAAGCAAAACAGACTATAAGCCTGATAACTGTCAAATAATCACTTGACTATTTCAAGCTGTGATAAGTGCTCTGAATGCCAAGTTCAGGGAGTTAGAGTCATGTGCCAGTAATGCAATTGGCTCCATTCGTAGCTTATGGTGATTTTAATATCTACATAGCTGGCTCCTGCAATGCCTATACAGCCTCTCAGTTTCCAAGCTCCAATGATCTTTTCTTACACCCAGCTCAGCCTCCTATTCCCAGCATCCTATCTTTGACCTTACTAATAACTCCATGCCCTCCATAGTGTCAGTTCAAGCAGCCCACTTTACTTCTTTCTGTCATCCAGCTCATACCTCCTACGGCCAATAAGGCTTTGCCTTCAACAGATTCCTCACCTTTTCCTTATCCCTCTGTTCTTACTCACACTGCCCTCTTTTCCCAGCATAAATTCCACATTCCACTATTTTATCCATTCTTTTTCATATCCTTTCAACGTCCTTGGCTCTCCCTCCCTCCTTTCTCCTAGCCTGGAAAAACCCCAACTCTCCACCTACTCTGGAACTTCTTGGGCAAGCGAATTTAGCTGGAGAAAAACAAAGCAGCATACCAACGTGACTCATTTTAATGATCATAAACATCAAGCAGACCTTTAGCTCCTCTGAGCAACTGTACTACATTCCCCTCATCAAATCACTCACCCACTCACTCCAATGGCTATTCACACCTTCCTTTTCCTCAAACCCCACCACAGTCTCTCTGTCTGTCTGCCAACTCTCTCTTCTCATTTAAAAGAACAATTAGAATAGTTCTTCCATTTGGCCTCACTACCCAATCTACCATATATCTGCATCTATTTGCCAATATTCTGCCTTTTATCAAGCGACAATGAGTGAACTGGCCTTGGATTTTCCTGTCCATCCTCACTTCCTTGTTTAGTCTCATGGGTATAAGTGCCACCCACAAGCAAGGTCCATCATCATTTGCTTGGGCTTCCTTATGTAAAGGCAGCAGCATCTCAAGAGGGTGAAAGTGGAACTTATAGGCTCCATGAGGCCTAGGCTCCAACTGAACATCACTTCTGCCACATTTTATTGATCAAAGCAAGTCAAAAGGCAAGTTCAGATTCAAAGAGTGGGAAAATAGAGAAGTTGCAAAATATTGGGGCCGTGACTTCCATTTTACCACAACTCTGAGATGACTAAATATAAGAGGACTGATGGCAGTGGAAAGCCTTATATTTTAAAGTGAAATTAGTGCTAATAACTACCCAGTGCCATCATCCTCTAAAATCATTGAAAGTCCCCAGAAGTTTTTCTAAGAGATCTGCACCAAAAGCCTATAGCCTCCTCCTCATTCTCCCTATTCACTCATTCGTTATTCAATTATTACTCACTGAGCAGGTGCTCTGCACAGGACATTGGGCCTACATGTCCAAGACACAATGGTGGAGCAAGAGACATAATGCCTATTTTAGCATCAACAAAGAAAGAATGAAAAATAAAACAAAAATCATGATAGCCCCCCTGGCATTTGAGGGTTCTGTGATCTGAAAGACCTTTGGCCAGGGAAGCCATATTAGTATGTGCTATTTTGCATCCTCAGTAAAGGGGACAAGAAGAGGGACATTGGGGACATTAAAGGACACAAATGCCTGCACATTCCTCCTTTCCCCTTCTCTTCATACAATAAGATTGAAGTAGGAAGTAAGCAAGGGGAATTTAAACTGAGAAGCCAGCTTGGATGGGCTGAGAGTGGAAAACCTGGCCCCTGTGACAATAGACTGAGATGTTAAGTTTTCCAAGCTAGACCTGCTAGCATAACTCAGACAATGGTGACCCATAAAACTAATTCTTGGTGTCACAGCAGCTACCACTAGAACCTGAGCAACAGTTGTCTTTGTGACTTCCACTCATCTTTACCTCCTCTCCTGGGTCTCTTCAGACACTTAATGTGCCCCCCACCCACCTACCCACCCCAGCTGGCTGGTGACCCATCTGAGCCAACCTTTTCTTCCAGTTCTAAAAATTCCTTTTCTTTATACTGTCTCAATAAAAATGTACATTCCCAAGTGTTCTATTTGTTTTGGGTGTGACTAAAATGATTCACATCAAAGTATGAATGACACTTAAAACAGAGCCTGTTCTCTAATGTTGAGTTTAAGTTCTTTGAGCCCAGGTTACCAGATTCCTTGTCTACACAAACCCGCTTCCCTCCCCTAGTCTAGTTTGCTGCCAGGAAACAGAATTCATGGACCCACCTCCCTCAGCTGAATATTCAGTGAAATAAAGGGTCTTTGTCATTGCTTGGGGAGAGGGTTTTGTTGGTCAAATGAGTTCTATTTCAACCTGCAAAGCATAAATGGGAAGCATAAGAGCTCCCTTATCAATATGTTTTGTTTGTTTGTTTAATTGCCAGTACCTTGACAGAGTTATTTAATCCTCTTCTTTTCCCCCAAATACACTGCTGCCTTATACATTAGATATACTTCTGTGACCTGGCCCAAAAGTTTAGGGAGGAGTCTTAAAATCATTTCTCTGGGAAAATATATTCTGAGTTATAAATAACAAATTTACAAATACACTTTGGGAACAAATTCTATTATAATTTGATGGGTTCATCTCATTGGAACAAGATTTTAGAAAATTAGCCTTGGCTTTTGTTTGGAGAAAACCAATAGAAGCCATTATGATGATATATATATATATTTTTTTTTTTTTGATGAAGTATTATTGAATACGTTGGTTTAAAAAATCACCCTTGAATCTCTCTGAGATTGCTATGGAGAATTCTTTCTCCAGATTCTTGTGCCAGTGCCCACCCAGCTGCCCTGCAGGGACATCTGAGATGTCAGGCATTACCTGCCCAAGCCTGCTCTCCCTTTAGTCCCACCACGTTGGTTCATGGCAACTTCATCCTTCTCACGGCCCAGACACTTGCAGTCACACCACAACCAAATCTGTAGGAAGTTCTGTTGACTCCACCTCCAAAAGGTGCCCATAACCAAAATCGTCTCCCCCTCCAGAGCCACTGCCTGGCAGGAGTCCCCAGGGACTGTTACCATGCCAGCGTTCTGGTGAAGAGGCCCTTCCTGCCCTGCCCATCTGTGTCCTCCTGAGTTATCCTTGACCCAGCAGCTAGAGGCCCTGTTCAAATGGATCCCATCACGGCACTCGGCTCAGAACCCTCCAGGGACGGGCACTGGCCTCCCAGGCCTGAGCTGACCTCAGCCCCTCCCACACACCTGCCATCTCTCTTCCACTCTGACCACACTGGCTCTGACACTTCTCATCACACCAGGCACCTGGGCTTTCTCCACATTCCCTCCGTCTCTCCTGCTCTAACCTTTCACAGTATCCTCATTTTTAATTTCTTCTTCTTTTCACATGAATTTCAAAAACAGTAAAAGCAAACGTATGAAAGGGAAGAAGGATGAATGGGGCCATACCCACCGGAGCCAGTCCTCTCACTTCAGCTGTGGATGGCGCAGACTGGTGTCAGCTGACCACAGCTTCCGCACAGCCAGGCCACAGTCGTCCCTGCCTCGGTGGGGAGGAGGGGGGTGTGGGCGGTGCTGGCGTGCAACCTGCACCTCGGAGCCTGCCTTGGCTTCCAGGCTCCTGATGGAGGCCAGCAGCTGAGGCCCCACGACACTCTGGGAACCCTGGGAACCATTTTCCAGAAACTCTACTGAGTGCTTTAGAAAACTATTATTATCCCATTTCATATATGAGCAGACTGAGGCTCGGAGAAGCTAAGCACCTTGCCTAAGGTCACATGTCCAGTCAATGGGAAGGTAGGGACATGAACCGAGAACCATCTGACTACAGAATCTATACCTGGCCCACTGTGATGGACTGAAAAATGGCATCTGTTTTGTAGCAGTTTAATAACAATTCACACAACACCTCTGCTTAGTTGCATGAACCAATTATAGATTTTCAAGTGTTATTAAGGAAAAAAATCACAGTGTATTTACTACATTCCTGGTACCTTGCTACTTATCTAGTTTGAAATTTTATTAGGTTTGACTGAGGTAAGTTACCAAATGAAAAATGAGAAAGAAGCATCCCTAGCAGGTCTAACGCACAGGTTCTACTGGGAAGACCCACCTGCCAGAGGGACGCTCTCTGTCCTCGCCGGGAGTCTGTGATTCTCGCCAGCAAACACACGGTGGCACCACGTGCACACGCCTGTACAAGCCACGGGCTGTCCAAGCAGAAGCGGTTACTGCTACTTGGGATTACCGAGCCAGATTCTGGCAACATTTCGCATTCATAATTGAACTTTCCACATAAAAGCGATCTCTCTCGATATTTTGTACACAAAGTTAAGCAGCATTGCCCAAGTACATTGAAGCTGGAAAGAGCTGATGCATTCAAAGTGCTTAACAAAAGATTTCTGTTACATGCACATTAACGAACACAGTTGTTTTGATGAGTATTATTTTTAAAGAGAAAGATATAGAACTTCCTGTGATAGTTATCTTTGAGTAAAAGATAAAACCAATTTACTGAATTGGCTTAGTGGCATCCTACAGTATGTTTCATTAGACTACTTGCAGATAGCCTAGTTTCAACCCATAACTGTTCTCTTTTTAAAAATACGTATCTTAGGTATACCTGTGAAAAGGACCTTAGCCTTAAATGTAATCATTTTCTTTCAAGGAGAATATATTCATATA